ATAGGGATGGCCAGTTAGCTCACTTGGGAGAGCATGGTGCTGACAACACCACGTTAAGGGTCAAGATCCCCCCCCCCAAAAAAAAAGGGTCAAGATCCCCTTACCAGCCATTTTTAAAAAAACAACAAACAAATTACCTAGTTCCAGGTATTTTGTTATAAGCAACAGAAATGGATAATACATCCCTCTTTCATGCCTTTCCTAGTCTTATTTTGTCTGGGTCTAACAGAAAGTGATTTCACCAATTTCATAGGACCAGATAAAGGTGTTGGCCCACAGGTACCCCTTCTCTCTCCCTGTCTGTGCTCCCTGACCTGTGTGTGTGTGTGTGTGTGTGTGTGTGTGTACTCCAGGCATGCCGTATACCTCCAGGGCGTGTAAGTAATAAAATTTTTATTTTTTTAAATTTATTTTTATTTATTTTTATAAAGATGGCCGGTAAGGGGATCTCAACCCTTGGCTTGGTGTTGTCAACACCACGCTCAGTCAGTGAGCAAACCGGCCATCCCTATATAGGATCCGAACCCGTGGCCTTGGTGTTATCAGCACCGCACTCTCCCGAGTGAGCCACGGGCCGGCCCCCAGTAATAAAATTTTTATTTCCATCTGGTCTCTCCCCTAATCATTGGAGGGGTGCTGTCCATCTTAAGGATCCTAAATTACAACACAGGCTGTGACTGCAACAGAGGAGCCAGAGCTGCATCAAGTGTGTAGACCTTTGTCACATGAAGAAAGAGACCAGGTTAAGGAAGGAGGGCCCAATGGGTGAGAATCTGGCCTTGATGAGGGAGACAGATGTGGACTCCAGCAGAGAAGAGGTGTCTTTGGGGCCAGTATCTTTGGCCTCAGTGGCCCCTCCATGGCCAGGACAAATATTCCTTGGCAATCTCTAGGCCTGCCTAGGCCATCAGGCACCCTGGCTGGCAAGTGTGGTATTCTCACCACCAGATAGTATGTCCCGAGGTGGAGATTTGCCCGGGATCTATCATGACACCTCAGCCCTACGTGGTAGTCGGCTCTGGCTGTACTGATACAATCAAGTTTCTCAGCCAGCAGAGGACAGGACTTGAAGTACAGTTCCCCTGTTAAGGTGCCACCTCCCCCTCAATCCTGTGACATCTGGGCAGGAAATGGGAGGGAGGTCAAAAGTCAAAGCAGATTTCCTTCTGAACAAATTTCATGTAACACACTAGACAGGACGCTACGAGGAAAGTAAACACACCTCCCAAAACAAATCAAAGTTTTGGAATCTGTCTTCAACAAAGTGTGGCACTTCCCCTTAGGCCAAATCGAGATTTCCAAGAAAAACTGAAACAATACAAAGGATAAAGATGGGTCAACTGGGCGTTTTCAATCAAATAAAACAATGGAAATAAAAATAAGGGTGTGGGCTTCAAAGTGGTCAGGATTCCTCCTTGCTCTTATCTTAGAAAGCTCTCTTCTTCCGTCAGAGCATGTATTTCCCTCGGAGGGGCTCTGATTTGGGGCTGTGTCTGCCTCCCAACCAGACCGGGAGAGCCTGAGGCTTTTTATCTTTCTGGCCAATTGCGCACAGAGGAGTCCAGTGATGCCTGTTGAATTAATGGACAACTGATAATAATAGCAAACATTTATTCTGTGCTTACTAAGTACCAGGTGCTGGACTGGGCACTGTATAAAGATTATCTCATTTAGTTCCTTTTATAGCAGCCTATGGTGGGGGGTGGGGAGCGGGAATCACTTGTCCCATTTTACAGATGAGAAACAGGCTCAGAGAGGTCGTCGTTTGTCTGCAATCCACACAATAGTAAGGAAGGAGATTTGGGCTCAGTGTACAATTCAATAGCTTTAGTATATTCACAGATACGTGCAACCATTATCAAAGTCAATTTGAGAACATTTTCCTCTCCACAAAGAGAACCCCAAACCCTTTAGCTATGACCCTATTCCCCCCAGCCCTAAGCAACCACTGATATACTTTCTTTCTGCATAGATTTGCCTCTTCTTTTTTTTTTTTTTAAAGATGACCGGTAAGGGGATCTTAACCCTTGACTTGGTGTTGTCAGCACCACGCTCACCCAGTGAGCCAACCGGCCATCCCTATATGGGATCCGAACCCGCGGCCTTGGTGTTATCAGCACCGCACTCTCCCGAGTGAGCCACGGGCCGGCCCAGATTTGCCTCTTCTATACATTTGATATGTGAAATCATACATGTTAACCCAGAAAAAACACAATAGAGAAAAATATCTCCAAATATGTTGAGTTTATTCAGGAATAGAAAATAGGATGCCATTACCAGGCAGTTTCTTCTTGGAGTATCTTATCTGAATTACTGTAGTTCTAGGAAAGTCTAGTGATAAGCCTTGTCACAGAAACATGTGCATACCTGCAAAGCAGGGGATTTGTGAAGGACGTGAAAGGACTTCTGATGGGTTTTAGAAAATCCTTGCAAACAGTTCTTATCTCAGACAAGCAAGCATAACATAAGCCCCGCTCCTTTGTACCTTTCCTGGCCCTGTTTTGTCTGGAACTGGCTTCCTTCACTTACCATAGTGTTTTCAAAGTTTATCTACGTTGTAGCATGTATCAGTGTTTCATTTATTTTTATAGCTGAATAATATTTTCATTGTATAGATATACACATTTTGTTTATTCATTTACCCCTTCATGGACATTTGGGTTGTTTCTACCTTTTGGCTAATGTAAATACTGCTGCTATGAACTGTTTTTTTTTTTTTTTAAAGATGACCAGTAAGGGGATCTTAACCCTTGACTTGGTGTTGTCAGCACCACGCTCAGCCAGTGAGCAAACCGGCCATCCCTATATAGGATCCGAACCCGTGGCCTTGGTGTTATCAGCACCGCACTCTCCCGAGTGAGCCACGGGCCGGCCCTGAACTTCGATGTAAAGTTTTTGTGTAGACATATGTTTTCAATTCTTTTGCATATATGCCTAGGAGTGAAATTGCTAGGCCATATAACAGCCCTATGTTTATCATTTTGTGGAAATGCCAAACTGGTTCCAAAGTGGCTGCACCATTTTACATTCCCGCCAGCAGTGTATGAGGGCTTCAGCTTCCCACATCCTACCAAGACTTGTTATTGTCTGACTTTTTATTTTAGACATTCTAGTGGGTGTCCTTTAATGCAGAAAAGTATTTAATTTGATGAAGTACAATTTATTTATTTCTCTTTTATCACTTCTGCTTTCGATGCTATATTTAAAGAACCCATTGCCTAATCCAAGGACACAAAGACTTACCCCTATGTTTTCTTTCAGGAGTTTTCAGAGCTGCCTTTTGAATGCAATTCCCTACTCTCTGGGCAAACCTCTGAGCAGGCCCCAAGGTACATGCCTGGCCACAACTCCCCACAAATGTTGTAAGATAAAGAATTGTAACACAGCAAGGTTGCTGACTCAAAGACAGGTTACTGATTGATATGTAAAGATACTGGGAAATTGCAATAAGAAGAGAATGTTTGCTAAAATGAAGCTTTTGTTGAAAATTGCATTATAGAAGGTCACCTTGCTTGTCTTACTGACTGTTACCAGCTTCTATTATTAAGCTTGTTAAACTATACTTAGCAAAAACCCCACCTATGCTCTCTTCCTGTAACTTCCTGGTCTGGAGAATAAATGTGGAAAGAGAACCCCAACTCGTGGTTAATTTCTCAAACGGAAGGAATGCCTCTCTCTTGAGTGTTCCGGAAGATTAACCCCTTTTCGGGGCTTCTCACTGCTCAGAAGAGATGGGCTTTGAGCAAAGCAACACACAGAGCCCTCACCCTAATCCCAAATAGGCTGCTTATATTTCAGTCTTTCTGTTCTAGGGTTTCATATAGGGTGGACAGCTGTGGACAGTCATCCAGGCAGAGATGGGGCCAGCCTAAAGGTTTAGAGTGTAGGCTGGCAAGACAGGCATGTCTTGACTATGGGCACGAGGCCATACCTCTGAGACCAAGGCTCCTGGGCTGAGGAAGCACCTGCTGGGGCCAAGAGCACAACCTACCTTGGCAGCTGCATAGGTCCTTCCAGGAGAGGCTGGGCCCACTGCTGGCCACTGCCACGCTCTTTCAGTCATCCATCTCTAGGAGCTGTTTCTTTTTACCCTAGGCAAGGAACCTGTAAGAAGTGACTCCCTGGTCACCACCAAACTGTGCCGTCCTTATCTCTACTTACACCAAGTGCCAGGCACCTCTTAGAGACTCATGATCAGGGCCTGGTGACCTTTCACAGCTACTGGCCCTGAGGACCCAGGAGATCCCTTTGTGAAACCCAGGTCTACTGGGTGCCAGCTCACTTGCCCCAGATGTGTGTGTGGTGGTGGGAGAGGGGGGCACACAGAGAGGCACCAGGGCCAAGAAAGGGCAGCTCAGTTCCAGGTATGCCAAGTGCCACTCAGGGCCATAGCCTTTCAAGTGGGTGCCCCGCGATCTTTCCCAAAGTCCAGAGAGGACATCATAGTGGATACACAATCCCACTTGGCGGAGCCCGCTCCTGCTTCCCGCCACCTGTGCTCGGGGGTGGGAGCGGGCCAGTGGGGGGGGGCGCGCCGCAGGTGGAGTTGGGGGCGGGGCGGAGCGGGGGC